CGCATCAGTGAAAAACGAAATATTTAATTTAAAATTAATTAGTGATAGAAAAAAAGTAGGAGTGTATAATTTTTTTTAGGTCCTGTTTGGTATAGTAGTTTTGGGGTAATGGTTAGCGGTTTTACGTAAACAGTTAAATACAGGTGTTTGGTAAATTTACATATTTCGAAACCGTTATAAATAAAATGTTTGGTAAAATTTTTATTTAACGGTTTGAGATTAGCGGATAGCAGTTAGAGTCCAAACCGCTAGCGGATTGAAAAAACTAGTTTATGTAGTTTTTTATACTAAACCACTAACAAATTAAAATTTTAAAATAATATAATAATAATTTTTTAATAAAATTTAAAAATTTAAAAATTAAATTATATGACGTATTAATAAAGTAAATTAAGAAATAAAAAATTACTAATGCAGTACAAGATTTAAAAAAAAAAAGGTTAAAATTGCAAATTTACATGTGCATTGCCCACACGATAAATACAAGTCCCATTCCTCATTATCCAAACCCCCAATTAGGAATTTAAACGGACGGTTGAAAACATATTCTCATGGCTGATTTCCCAGCAGATTTGCAGAGTTTCAGACATTCTCTTCCTTACTTAGGAATTGATCCAATATTCATGGAACCAATCAACCAATTTGCAGGCATAAGCCAGAACACCCTGCAAAATTCAACCTTGAATTTGCAGGATTTTATGCCTAATTTCTCCTCCAATGGCAGCCCCTTTAGCCTTCAAGCTCCTGATTTTCCTGGAAATTGGACAGAAAATTTTCAGGGTATTATCAGTCCTGGAAACCAGCAGAATACAGTGGCAGTTTCTCACCCAATCATGACAGAGCAAAAGAAATTCCATGAAAGCAAGAAAAGAAAAGCAATGGATTTATCCGAAAGCAGTTCAGGAAATTCATCTCCTAGAGTTTCTGGAAGTGGGATCAAGAGAAGAAATGTGAGCATATTCTAAAACCCATTTTTGTTACTTTTTGTCTTTGGGTCTGTTTTGATTAGTCTTTTTCATATGCAAAATAACAGATTATTGACTTTTAAGGGGTTCTGTTTTTTATTTATTATTTATTTTTCCTTTTCTTGGATTTGTGCAGGGTTCTGGAAAAGGGAAGAGAGGAAAGGGCAATGATGCGAAAGAGAAGCAAGATGAGGAGAAACCAAAAGAAGTGGTCCATGTCAGAGCAAGAAGAGGCCAAGCTACTGATAATCACAGTTTGGCAGAAAGGGTATGTACATCTTTCTTGAAAAAGAACTCTGAATCTATAGCACAAAATTGGAAGGAGTTCATCTCTCAGAAAATTTGAAATAATTGCTTTTGGTCATATCAGTAATAATTAGTGATGATAATTTTTTATGTTGTGAATCAGGTTAGGAGAGGGAAAATCAATGAGAAATTAAGATGTTTGCAGGATATTGTCCCTGGATGCTATAAGGTATTTTTTTTTCAAGAAATTGATTTTATTCATGGAAAACTTAGAAAGAATGTTTTTACTTTACATTTTCTTGAGTTGATTACAGACTATGGGTATGGCAGTAATGTTGGATGAGATTATTAATTATGTGCAGTCCCTACAGAATCAGGTTGAGGTGAGTTATAATACCAACTGCTTGTTCTACTTAATGGAAAACAGGACAAGTATACTGATCCTAACAATTTTCTGATTCTTTTGCAAATTTGCAGTTTCTTTCGATGAAGCTCAGTGCAGCAAGCACATATTATGACTTCAATTCAGAAACAGATGATATAGAAACAATGCAGGTAAATTGGAAATTTAAAGAAAATGTAATAATCTTTCAAAGTTTCTTTGGCTGAGTTATTGTTGAATTTTTCAAAATTGCAGAGAGCAAAAGCACAGGAAGCAAAAGAGATGGAAAGATTGATGAGAGGAGGATATGGAGGCCCTTCTTGCTTCACATCAACATGGCCATAATCACTATTATCTTCTGGATCTTACTCTTAATTCTGCCTCAAAACACATAAACATGTTCGATTTTCGACAAATACTTTTCATTTCAAGTGCTAGAATATTTGTCTTCATGCTAAATCAAAGCATAGGTGAAAATTACACATGTAATTTCCAGTCATATGTATGAATATAAACAGATGTTGTAAAAGGCTTAATAATTAAGTACATCATTCTTTTTTACTTGTCTCTATATGTTTAAGTTACTTTTGATTTGAATCTATGACGATAAAAAGCGGTTGTTGATCCGACAATGTATATCAGTAATGTCATAAGATTCAACACACAATTAGACATAAATTGACTCGATTAGACTCCATTGCAGCATGCATGATGTGTGAGGCAACAGATGAGCCAAAACTGATTTGGAGTTTGAAATGGCATATTTTACCAACTTGGAGGAGAAACAAATGATAGCCAACAAATGAATTAAGATGAACCAGACATGGAGTTTTCATGCATCCTTGATGAAAACAAATCTTGTCCCTAAAATAACAGATAACTGAAGTCATGTACAGTACTATCGGTAAGAATTTTCTTTAGGCCGGTGATCAGGGATGGAATTAATGATAGAAGCATGTCTTCTAGGAAGAAAAAACAAAACAAATTATTTTCAGCAACTTGTAATAAAAATCTCATTCCACCAATCCATTTCTTCTGGCTCTAACATGTCTCATGAACCAACAGCACCAACAGTTCCATTGCAATTTGCAACAACGCGTAATAACCAAGTAGCAACAAATTTTTGTAATTACTGGTCACTATGTTGAGGCAATGAGGTCCAAAACTCCAAAGTCTATGGATCCCACATAAGAGAATGATAGATAAAATCTGATGGAAGTTGCCAATTCACGAAGTGAATGATTGGTGGGGAGAAGTTGATAGAGAAACCATTTTTAGGCACTTATTTTGCAATTTTCCTTTTGGATTCGTTGTGAAATGAAGAGGGCAGATGCAATGTATACATGACATGGAAGGAGGTCGAGATGGGGAACAATTTGAATGGGCCAGGTAGCTAGTCCCCACTGGAGGATGGACAACGTGCTATTGTGGGTTCTCCTTAAATTATAATCTTATGAACCTTTTTTGATACTCTTTGCTCACCAAAATCTTCCTCTTTGACCTTCTTTTGACCAAAGTCTTTTTTGCTTGTCTTTGGAGCATGCAATGAACTAGCAGAAAAGAAGGTCGGAAATGGGGTCCCTTTGCAACTAATTAAATGGATAGAGTTGTGTTCCCAATTTGGGTTGAGTCACAAATAAGGTGGAGTTGGAGAAAGGAGAAGTGACTTACATGGGCAAGTTCAAGGATCCAGGTAAGTGGGGAGGGGTAGTTTGTTAACTAGTTGGGATTCTTATTATTCCTCCCACTACTTGAGAACAAGATATGGCCTTGAGAGTCATCTAGTGCATGCATGTCTTAGGTTGAGCAGAGCATTCAAAGTGATGTTGTTTTTAAAGTAAAGCAATTTCCTTTATCAATCTGTCATCTTCACTTGAAAGAGAGTTTGAGAAAAAGTCATTGAAATCAATGTATTGCATCTTTCGGAAAGTAATTTATGTAAAAAATTTCACAACACATCTATGTCATTTATTGAAATATCTTTACTATTTATTTATTTATTTTCTTAGAACTTCTTTGCTAAGTGACTTAGTAGTTTATGATTCAATTATAAAACTAAAAGCTTGATAGTTTTTAAGTAGGTAGTTTATGATTCAATTATAAAACTAAAAGCTTGATAGTTTTTAAGTAGGTTACACCTTCAAATTCACCCAAAAATAAGAATTGAGATATATTTATTCTTATAAAAAATAGAGATAAATTATCTTTAAAAATTATCAATTAAAATAAATTACTCTTTATTTAACGTGCATGTCAACTTTTAGTTAAAAATAAACTTAGATGGTAAATGAATTTTCAACGTGTAATAACATCACATGCTTTAAATAAACAATTTGTTTTAACTTTTTTTTTTTTTTGAATGATAGATTTATCTCTACTCTCTTATATTGTTGATATTTATTTTGGTTACCAAAAATTTTAAAATGCTAAATTAAAATAAAAAAGGTCAATAAAATATAAAATTTTAGTTTTGGTTATTAATTTTGAAATGAATTGTACTATTATTCAAAATTTGAGAACCAAAATAAAGAATTAAAAGAAAAAAATCCTTAGAATTCGGAAAAGGAAGCACTATCGTATTGTACAATTGGCATCGAATGTACAAAAAGAAAATAATACGGAAATAACTTTAATACCATTAAAGCTTCATTTGGGAGTAGGGTTGTAAATTAGTTGAGTTGAGCTGCTCAAACTTAAGATCGATGCTATAGTAACGAATTGAGTTTTGATGGAGTTCAAATATATTAAGCTGGAATTCGATTTATGAGCTCAACTCATAATTTAAAGTCAACTTACAAATTTGATTGGTAACTTGAAATTAATTTTAAATAAAAATAAAATTTTAAATATTTAATATATATTTATTATTTAATAAAATTAACTTAAGTCAAATCGAGTGTTTAAATTAGATTGGACTTGACCCAATTCTCAAGTTTAAATTTAAAATTAAACTTAATTTTTACGTAAATTTAAGTCAAATTAAGAATAACTTGAGTTTGAATTAAATGGCATATAAGCATCTTAACTCATTTATAAATTACAAAGTTATTTAAGAGTGTTGTGCTATGATAGGTTGTTGTTGTTATGAGTTGTTTTTTTGTCCTTCTCGATCTCAAAATTTTAAAAAATATTAATTAAAATTAATTATTTATAAAAAAAAATTTACATTTTTAGATAATAATTGTGAGAAAGGGTACTTGCAGCACTCTAAAATGAGACTTAAATAATCTTGCGTTGAATTTTAAATATGAGACTTTTAAATTATAGGTTAAATTGAAACAATTCTATGTTACATTTATTGAAGGAAGGGGTTTACCCCATCATGAAACGGTCCCTCGGTATTTAATAAATTGTAAAACACATTAATTATCTCTTTTTTTTAGTATATTTAATAATGACAGATTATACAAAAAAAAATATTCTTATTTTTAAAAAAAATTATTCAATTCAAAATTTAAATTTAAAATATTTAATTTAAAATCTTAAATTTTTAAATATTGAAATATCCCATTGGTGTAAAACACCCTCATTGTCTAATAAACGGCAAAAGACATTTTTGTGAAATTGAAATATTGGGATGGATGAAGAGACTTTTGAAAGAAAAAAAAAAAACCCAAGGGCCATTTAATCTTTCAAAAAAATAAAAAAGTACAAGAGAAACAAGTGCACCAACTTGAGCCAAAATGACGCCCAGGTTAATGGGCTGTCCATGGGCCATCCGTCTGCTAGTCATGGAATATGGACGGTCTCAGCTTGGGTGTGCAACGTAGGGCTGAATATTTTCAGGTAAATGAATAAGTTATATTTGGTATTTAATTTTAAAATTTTTAAATATAAATTTTTAGATTTGTTATTTACTTAAATATTTAAAGATTTATACTTAGTGTTTAACATAATAAGTATTAAATAATTTGGAAGTATATATTTATATTTATATACTTGGTTTAAGAAAAGAAATTATCCAATATGAGATATTATTGTTATGTATATTATGTATTTAGTTTAGAATTTATTAATTATACGAGTTGTTATTATTGCATATATGATCTATTTGGTATATAACCTCAATTAACATTTATTTTTATTTTATTATTTTATTATTTTTATTTTTAAAATTTATTATTATATAGATATTAAATATAATAAGTATGTGTAAAATTTCAATTATACAAGGATAGATAATAGATTAGATAAACAAATTGATATTGGTTAAATAAATCAGATAAAGAATTTTAAATTCATGTATATATATATATTACTTGATTTCATATTTATAAGTATGTTATTTTTTTTAACGGTTTACAACTTGACAATGGGGAAATTTTTGATTAATAACGTATTATAAGTTATGTTATTAAATAATTTAATATATAATATTATAAGTATCAATAAAATAAAAAAATTAATTATTGAAAAATAAAAAATTTATATTTTAATATTTTAAAAGACATGACTTGTGTCATGTTATTAATTCTAAATTTTTGTCCCGATGATAAA